CACACACACACACACACACACACACACACACAGAGGCACCATAACATAAATACCATAACATAGTAAGAAAAGATGTTTGTGTGTGTGTGTGTGTGTTTGTGTGTGTGTGTGTGTGTGTGTATTAACGCTTTGAACATCACTTGCTTACCCAGTTCTTGTACACCAAGAAAGTAGGATGGATTTAGCATCTGCAGATTTTTGTATGTGGGAATATTGGCAGAAGAAGACCACTCCGAGGGTTTCCCTAAAGACAGGGATTTCTCTTCCGACACCAGAGGCTGTGTAACAAATTCCTTCCTTTGTCTGCAAGCTTTATACACACAAAGGGAGAAAATCTTCTGCTCCCCTCAAAGAGATGCCAGGTAAGGGAAAATTATTTCTGTCATCCATTCCCGCTTCCATTCCTCAATGCTATACCTAACATCAGAAGACAACTGTCTACAGTGATGGAAATATGCACACTCCTTTGCAAGCACAAGTTGAAAAATGAATCTCAAGAGGCCCATTTTCCTCTTATTTCAAACAAGTGGCTTCCTTCTGATTTTGAAGAAGAAATAATCAGCTCCTTGCTTTCAAGATTTCCACAGAGTTCAAGGGAATACCGATAGAAGCACCTGTCACATATATTACTATTACTGGCTTTCTAATTGCCTGAAGCATGAGAACGAGGCGATTATGCATTTCCTATAGAACCAAACAATTTCCCCCCCTCGCTTTCTTTATTATCTTTGATGTTCCATTTAAAGTTCCAACTTGGCTCATGATTTAATGTGTTTTGCCATTATCTTTTAACTTCCAACATGTGGCTTTGTAGTTCTAATAAAGCTGATTTATTTCACATATTTCATCTGCAGGCTATGCCTATATATTTTGAGAGAGGGAAAAATGAGGTGGTGGTGGGGGAGGAGGCCGGCTTGCTATAGAACAAAGGATCATTCTCTAAAATCATCTCCCTTCTCACAAAAGCCTCCATTCCCAATTCTTGTATGTATTTTTAGAAAATAATATGGCAATTGGCCACATTCTGTATTTTGAAATAGGCCCAGTTGCTCAGGAAAGTGATAAACAGTGTGGAGGAAAGAACATCCCAGGATAGTAGTGGAAGTGGCAGGAAGCAGCCTCGTCAGTTTGTTTTCTGTAAAAATTGATTGTTTCATGACAAGCCACGCTCAGAATAGACACGATTTATGAAGAGCCTCCGGAGGCAGCCATTTTGTAGCAAGACTGCACATAACACAATCTCAACACTGGAAACGGGAATAGATATTGCAAGGCAATCCAGGAAGATATAAAGAATGGATAGCTCGGATGAGTCACTAGCATGGGACCAGTGGTGGGTTTCAAAAATTGTTCGAACCTACTCTGTGGGTGTGGCCTCCTTTGTGGGAGTGGCTTGCCACCCATGTGACCGGATGNTAGATAACTGTGGGACATTACACACCCAGCGTGTATAAAATGAATTAAAATGCATTTATAAATTAATACAATCTATCACTCCATGTACCTTTTCAACATCATTTCATTTTTTGAGAGTGTCTATGGAAGTTGTCAATCATCCAGGTCATGGTTGCCCCAAAGGTGTTTTCTCAAGAGGCAATTGGACTTTCTGGTTTTTCTTTGACTTCTTGGGTGAGAAGCAAAACATCTTCAAAGAAACCAGAAAGTTCAGTTGCCTCTTGAAAAAGCACCTTTGGGATTTTTTTTTTTTTTTGAGACTTTGGATTCAAGATTAATTGATTATTTGATTTATTGACTTCCTAGGTTGCCCAAAAGGACCCTGGTTGATTTCATATTTCCATCTACCGATAATTATACTTAGTTGATTCAACCAAGTCATTGCAAAATCTGATTTTCTTTCCTGTTTGAAATCTTATGTACACAAAAGGCTTGTCGTGGGTGGTTCACACTATCTTTTCATAAGAACAGTTCATCTGAATTCATGCAAAAGGAAGAACCACCATGGGGTGATTTATTAAATATGTAGGACTGGATAATTGATAACTTTTAGGATGAGGCTGTTCCTCCTCAATAGATAATTCTATGCATGTTTCTAAGGCTCAGACGCACTCCTTCTGAAATCTACATATATTTTATAGCTGTGCAATTAATATGGTGGAGAAGGGAATTAGTATACAATTTAGTGACTACAACATACAGCTGCAGTTATCTTTTGCTGGTTAGCTTAGAATAAATTAAGGCAAGACAATATTGAATATGCCAATAAAGCAATATGTAATATACATATTTCTTTTCAATATTCAAATCCCCTGGCTTAATTTTGCTCAGAATGACATAAACTAGGCAACTGCCTGGTAGTATTCTTATTAAAATGCTAAACGAGATCATTGGGGAAGAGGTATCCGTAAGGAAATCAGTGACTCTCTTTAAGCAACTAGACAATCAATCATGCAAATGGCATAACTAGGGAGCCTACACACACACACATACACACACACACACACACACACACACACACACACACAAACTCACAGCCATGCCTCTGAAATCTAGAATAATCTTCTCTGGGGCATTTCTGAAAGCATCATGAAAATCCATGTAAAGCTATTTAGAGGCAATATCTGATGTGAGACATGCACTGAAATTCCTTGAATGATACAAGTACCATTCATGCAACTAGCTATAAGCTATTTTCCAATTGTATTGGGTCTGCTATATGCTATTAAATAAAACAAACACCCACTACACTTGAAAGTATGGAGCTATGATTTTGCTCACCTTTGGCCTGGGAATCAGTTTAGCATTTTGGTGGTGTTCATTACCAGGTTATCACCACCTGTGTCCTTACCAAATCTAAGAACAGCTTAGAGATGGGAAGTCAGAAGATCAAGGTAAGCAGTATGGAGGCCAGGATTACTAATGCATCCTTTTAAAGGTGTTGTACTGCAAATAGACTTCCTCTTTATGCGGCGAAAAGAAAATGGACTGGCATTTGTCGCAGCCTAGAACTCTCTTGCATAAATGTCAGCTTAGCAATGCGGCCACATGTATCACTGACAAGCCTATTTCCAAGCAAAAGAGCATAAGCGTTGCCGAGAGTTATTTTCTTATGACCATCTCGTGACCATTAAAAGAGACGATAGCAAATTCAGGCCTTTATACCTTGGAAACAAACATTACAAGAGATGGATGACCTAGGCTAATTGGCTGAGCAACAATACCCAGAGATTAGAAAGATAATTTTCTGTGGAGGCATTCTGTGTTTATTATTATTCATTACCAACCTGAAACAGTTTGGCTCTTTGCGACTGATAAATTAAAGCTAGATTATGAAAGGCAGAATTAGATTAAAGGATTCATTGTTGATCAGTAAGGCTGTGTTGGCTGGGGGTAATAGCATTGAAATCCAAGCTATCTCGAGGGCACTAGATTAGGGAAGAATGGTTTATATAATTAATGGCCTATCGGCTAGTATATGTATTATAACACGGGGAAATCAATCATTACATGGAAATGCCTAAACACTTCAAAGCCAAGATTCTCAAAGCACCAAAATGAGCTATGTATCCATTCATGTCACCGGGCCATAGATTTTTCTGTATATTATCACTTCTGGAAGTTTCTATCACAAATGGCGAAGCATTAATCATGGAAACTGAATCAGTGAATTTTGCTCGGAGTATCTTATGCCACGCTCTCACATGGCATTGCTAGCATAAATAAAACCTTTACATCCGTGTAGGAATAACTTTGAAAGGCTGTAAATATTACTTAACTGTTATTAATCACGTTGTTCTATAAACCCGTCAAACACATTTGTCTCTTTGGAGCAGCTGTTTCCAACGTGGTTGCCTTCCATTTAAATTCCCCAGCCAGCGTGACTAAAGCTGAAAATTTGAGGAGTTGAAATTCCCATCAGTGGGCAAGCAGACTGAGGCAGGCTGGTTGACAATGGGAGATTGTCTGCTGTCAGCATGACTAATCTTAATTGGAAACATCACACAATCCTAACAAATCCTCCCTACAGCATTATCTAGAGCTGTGTTTCTCAACCTTGGCGACTTTAAGTCCTGTGGACTTCAACTCCCAGAATCCCCCAGCCAGCATAGCATAGCTGCCTGGGGAATTCTGGGAGTTGAAGTCCACAGGACTTAAAGTCGCCAAGGTTGAGAAACACTGCTCTAGAGAGTTATGTTTATTTTGTAGTATAAAGTTTTTGTATATTGTCCTCCCAATTTTATAGGAATTTGGGCTTCCAGATGACATTTTGTTTAATGTGATGCTTATACATAGTAAGATGTTGCTTGTGAAATACGTCAAGGGGTATATCTGGAAAAGATAAATAATTAATGTGGGTAGAACAGTACAGTAGCCCAGAGATAAAGACACTTGCCTCCCACTCAGAAGGCTGAGAGTTCAATCCTGGAGAGCAACAGATGTTTCTCTATCAAGGCGCAAAGAGAAAATATCTGCTGTGACTTCCACGTAGGCATCAGGAAGGGCAACTGGCCAGTAAATGCTCAGGTCTATTCAGTCAACCAAACTCTACCTCAAATCAAGGAATTGCAGGGTCATAAAAAGAAAACGAAGAATTAAAGTGGGAGTAAACAGTGTCCCCCCACCAGGGGTGGGTTTCAGGCGGTTCACGGTGACTGCCGCGAACTGGTTGGTCGGCGAACCCGGAAGTAAGTAACTTCCGGGAACGCCNATTTTTATTGACAAATTTTTAAAAGGAAGATTAAAAATGGATACAAACTAATATAAAGTCAGAAGGAGAGAGAAAAAAGGAATAAATCAAAAGAATGTCCAAAGGAAGAAAAAGGAAAAAAAAATAGAAAATGAAAAATAAAAAAAAGATGTTAAAAAATAGTTTCCAATCTTCTCTACAACAGTTATAATTACAATTAATAATATACCTCTTACCCTATGGTTGCAATACAGTATAACTCTCTTCTGTCTGTATACAATCCTTTCTTAGCCATAAATAGTAAGTTCATTTTTTTTCTGTTTATGCATAAAGTCCATAGGAAAATTCCCTTGTTCAGGACGGCGTATCTACATTTTCAAGGGAAATACAATTGTACCATGAAGTAGTTAAAAAGCTGATCTCTATTTCACTATTTCCTTCAGTATTTAGTTAGTTAGTTAGTTAGTTAGTTAGTTAGTTAGTTAGTTAGTTAGTTAGCAGCTTTCAGTAACAGACTTGATGGCAAGTGCCAGGGAAATTTGAAGAGTCAAATAGTTCAAATCAGTATAAAGATTTATTGCAAGCTTAAGCTCTCTACAAGAATCTGACCAACTGGCCATTAAGGGAAATGCACGGGAGATAAAAGAGGCATTCAAGATGGCCTGAACTTAGATCTATTGTGTGTGCGAAGAGACTCACGACTGATGACTTGTTTGACACCCCACCCCACCCCTTCAGGTTCAGCCCTATGGTGTTGCTTGAGATGTGTAATCATGTGGCATGCTTGGCCTGGGCTCAGGCCTCTTTTATCTCATCATTGCCTTGATAGCATCTCTTCTGCTTGTCCATCAAGGCCATTCCCTCTGCACCCCTCTAGAATATCTCCAGTTTGCATTACTGAAACCAGGCCAAATTCTTGACAATGCAGTTGTCCCATTTTTCTCAGTACAAATGGGGAATATATGCTTCCCTAAACCTTGGCGAAATCTGTGTGTGTGTGTGTGTGTGTGTGTGTGTGTGTGTGTTTAAAAATCCCCCCAAAGCGTGCACCAAATATCACCCCTGTCATCGGTGATGTCCCTCCCAATCTTCTGAGGTGATTACAAAATGGTGATTACTTTTAAAGGGTGATTTCCCACTAGCCCTTCCTGGGATCCAAGGCAAAGCAATTACGACCTGAATCATCCCCAGCCTCAGAAATCATCCGAAAAGGTCTCCTGTCAGTTATGGTGTTGTTTTGGAGGAATGGCTGCTTTATGGCCCATTTCCAGAGTAATGTTCATGTTCTGCTACAGATAAATGGCACTTGATGCCAGAGGCCCACAGGCAAACTTGACTTAATAACACCCGACTCTTTCGTTCCTCTCAAATGACTTTCTGACCAACCACCCAAAGCCTGATCTGATTGCATTTCCGTCTGCGGGGAAGGGTGGTTTTAAGACTGAAAGCATTTCATTAGAACTATAAAGGAGCAACGTTAGGGGATAGCCTACCCGATTCTCTGTCGAAAAAAGACAACAATGACCTTCCCCTCCCTAATAAAAATATTATTTTTCAAAGAATTTTTGGTTTTGCATACGGTGCCAGAATGTGGAGAGATTGTATGACCACTTCCCATATTGTGGTGTTCATCCAGCCTCAAACACTTTTTAATATTATTTGGTTTTTTAAAAAAAACCCAAAAGGTAAGAGAAATAATATCCGGTATAGTAAAGGTTGCAATCATTATTTCTCCTACAGAAGGGAAGTGACAGGTATTTATGACTCCAGTGCAACCATATTTCACCTAACAGTCACAAAAACATCAATAGTAGAGGTGCGCAGGACTCAGGACCCAACGTGGGAAAAGATACTTTCAGATCTGGTATGAGGGTGTTCCTCACAGATGCAAGCACTTATACTCTTCTTCAGATTTACATGCTGAAAATTGCTACCGTGTTTCTCCGAAAATACGACATGTCCTGATAATAAGGCCATGCCATATTTTTCTGCTGGGCAAAAATGTAAGCCCTCCCCTGAAAATAAGCCCCTTGGACAACCCCCCACCTCCGGCCAGGCAGAGCACAGCTCACCAACCTAGCGGTATCCCGAAGGTGCCAAGTCGTGGAAACGGGGAGGGGGGAAGGAAAAAGTGATTGTGTTGCTTGGTCCCTTCTGGATACCGCTAGGTTGGTGAGCAGTGCTGTGCCCAGCTGAAGAGGGGGGTTGCCGGGTGTCTGCTCTCTTGTGAGTGGGCTCCCAAAGAGCTGGGTACAGCCTCATGGGCAAATGGCTGTGTTGCGCTGTCGCAGCAGTGCAACACAACAGCCATGAAGTGACCACACTTATGAGAAGCCACTCTTTTCAGCCGGGCACAACATCATTCACTGACCTAGGGGTATCGGCAAGCTGCATGAGTGCCTGTTAGCTGCCCGGCTCTTGTCCAAATGCTAACCAGTGTTGGCAGCTAGAGGAATTTCTGGAATTATATAGATGTACATAATGTGGTTGTATAGATAATAATTCACAGTTATTATGGCCATATTTCGTGGATAAAAAGAAAACAAGACCCTGTCTTATTTTTGGGGAAACACGGTATATACTGCAGATAGAGACAGACATGTAGTTCTCTTGATAGATCTGTAATGTTGGTAAAGGTGGAAGGAAACAGAGAAAAAGAAGAGAGGGCTAACAATAGTACCCCGTTTTCCCGAAAATAATACCTTCCCAGATAATAAGTCCAATCGGGCTTTTGAGTGCATGCGCTAAAATAAGCCTCCCCTGAAAATAAGCCACCCCTGAAAATATTGCAACGCAGCAGCAGCCATGGGATGACCACGCTTGCCGCCTCCTGCACCTCAAAAATAATAAGACCTCCCCCCAAAATAAGGCCAAGTTCTTATTTTGGGGGTCAAAAGAAAATAAGACCCTGTCTTATTTTCAGGGAACTACGGTAAATTGACTCATTTAGAATGGTGAGGGGTACACTGTGGAAGACCTGAAGATTGTGGACTGATCCTCTGGAGAAGGTCTGTCAACGAAGAGTTGATACTGACTTGATGGGATATAGTCAAACAATATGCAGGTGAACAATATACAAGGATTAATTTTCATAAACCACAACTCTAGGAGAGTAAAAGAAGATCATATATTTTCTTAGATCTTCCTCTCCAAGAATTACAAGAAAGAGAAAAAGTTGTGGAAGACTGTGGTTCCTTCAATGTTAACACAGACACCAAGGAGATTTAAAAAAAGGCATCCTGGAATGTATTAAGGGCTTGCTAAGAAACATTGTAGATATAGCAGATGGAGATGGACTTCAAATCAAACACTTAGCTTTTCAAAATTAAATCCTTTTTTAATTGAACTGAAATGCATTGTCTTGACTACAAATAGGAAAATGTATAATCTATTATATTAAAAAAAAGTCTATTCTGTAACTTAATTTCATGGATTCTTAGGAACTCTCTAAGCCCTTCATTAGTACAAAACCAAGCAAAGTTAATTAATGATTTTAGTTTCCAAGTACCTTTGATTAACTGAAGTCAGTTCGCAGAGAGGTAGCTATTCTCTCATTAATGATTCTTTATTAAAATCATATCTGTCCTAGAACTGACTTTAAAAGAAAGCATTATTCTCCAAACTGCTCGCATTATTAAAGAAATGATGCTAGTTACATTAGAGTGTGTGAGAAAAAAAAATAATGCAATGTAATTGTTTGGTAAAGCCAAAATATCAGCAGCTATCTATGAAACTGCTATCAGACAGGGAGTCACTTTATGCCAGAATAAAATAAGTAAATTTATTGAATAAATATATCAGGTATTTAACAAGTCATTTTTTTAATTTTAGAAAAATCCAGTATAAAAATCCAATAACTGTGGATTATTATCTATACAACCACATTATGTACATCTATATAATTCCAGGAATTCCTCTAGCTGGCAGCACTGGTTAGCATTTGGACAAGAGAATGCCACAAAATCCCAGGGGTTAGATCAACAAATATGCCACACAAGACAGCAGTAGCAAGTCTCTTCTGTGTTGCTATTTATTGAAATTTTTTTTTAAAAAAA